TTTCAACATAGCAAGCAGACTAATGCGGAACCCCCCTGCCTTTCTCCCCCAGAAAGCTTAAACATGGTCTGTTACACTGTTAGACTGTTATTACATGAGAAAATGTAGAAAATGTTGAAATCAGTGTAGAATTCCTCAGGAACCCTTTTGGTGAAGACCTACCCCAAACTGAAATACCATACCCCAGGCCCCAATTATAAAAGTTCTTCCCTCCTGGGCGCTTCGCGTCCAGTGAGCATTTAGCATGCCACCATCATGTTCACAAAGCATGCTCGCTGCTCTGTTGCCTAGGCCCAAACATGAAGCCCTTGCACAGACTTGCTCCTGTGTGCTTGTGGCAAATGTGGCGAAACAAATCTAGCGAAACCTTGTGGCAAATCTGGCAAAAAAAAAGTCTGGTGAAAGCTTGTGGTAAATTTGGGGGGGTGGGTTCCAGGCCCAGACGCAGGCGCGACTCCACCCCCAGTACTGCTGGCACTCACTCGCAACCTGGTCTCCTTAATTTGCATAAGAAGGCTTGTAGTCAAGGTTAGCAGAACTAGCAGTTGTGTATCTAAGGTAGCTAGAACTAATTTTTTGAAAACTACAATGAGAAAAATTGAAATAGCTGGAAATACCTGTTTGGACGACATTTTTGCACTTCTTTGGCAAAAGCTACAGAGAATGCGGAAAGCGCTACGAATTGTCGAGTTTTGCATGAATCGTGGCTAACTTTGCGCGATTGGCATGCTGCAAGATCTGTATAGTTTTGGAAAACACGTGCATTATTGACGCGGCGCCGCCGCCATCATTTCGCGTGCCGCGCAAGCACGCGGCTTGCGGCACAGCTCATGTCCATATTCAATGCGCGGATGTATTGAGATTGACACGTTTCGCTTTCACCGGTTGGTTGCTCGAGATTTGCCTGAGACGCTTTTTTTCACAGCAGGCTTTGTGTAGCAGCGAAATCGCATGCGACTGCGCAATAATTTCGACAGCAGGGGTTTGCGGGAGCCTGTGCTCCGCGGACATGTTTGCTACTCTCTATATTACGAACATGTTTGCGCATGAAGGGGGGGCTCCCATGAAGAAAGCCTGCTGCTGAAGCGCTCACCTTGGAAACCCGCCTGTTCCATTATACAGACATCACATGTGAAGTGAAGGCTCCCATGGGAAAATCCTGCTGCTGAAACGCTCGCCGTGGAAACCCGCGTGTCACATGTGAAGCGAAGGCTCCCATGCAAAAATCTGCTGCTGGAAAGCTCGCCGCGAAAACCCACTGCAGGTGTGCCTGAAACCTGGCCTGCAGAGTCAGCTTCTAGCTGCAGCAGCCCACTGCAGGTAGCGCACAGTCAGGTTCGGCAAAGGTAGCTGTCAAAAGATCCTGCCTAGCGAAAACTGGCCCCAGCCACACGTAGGAAACTCAGGCTGCCCAAAGACACAAGACTCACGCGAAAGCTTCCTGCTGCGGCTGCTGAACGGAAAACACACATGAAAAAATAGCGAGTCTGATGACCGATTAACAAGCGCGCTTGCGAAGAACAGGCTCCCCAAAACTCCTGCTTGTGAAAACTTCGCCGCAGAAGTGCGCAGCAGCAGGCCAAACCCCCTTACCCCTACCTGAAGCCCGGCCACAAGTCAGAGACCCACCAACAAAAAACAAGCTGCAGAGCAGCAAAGTTCCTCTACCTCGCACCTTTGACGCAGAAAACAGCCAGCTGAGCACAACCCCTCTGCCTGAAACCTCGCGTCAATTCGCAGCCCGCAGAAAAACTAAGGAGCTGAGCAGCGATTCCTCGCGCGGATGCTAGGCCCAGCTCATTTAGCTGCCAAAAAACATCCTGCCTGACGAAAACTGGCCCCAGCCGAAGGTCTCCCCAAGCTGCCCAAAGACAATAGGCGCGCGCGAATGATTTTTCTGCAGACTGTACGGGCAACACAAAACACAAATGCAAAGAATGCTGATTTTGCTTCCCACCTTCCCCCTTTCGACTGTGGCAAAGTTCTTCTGGCCAGGAGTTTTGTTTGCGACTGCGCTTGCAAGTTTCCAGTCTCTGGGTTTTTCTGCGGTGCTTCGCGGTGCTTCGCGGCGCTTCGCGGCACATGCCGGGGCCGCAAAAAGCATGTGCGTTTACAGAAGGTGAAGCAAACAAGGCCGCGGCACGTCCAAAAAAGAACGCTCCAGAACAAAGCCGTGGCGCATCGCGGCACATCACGGCATGTTGCTGCTTTCGGTGGGGCTTCTGCAATAACATCCAATTGTACAGCAAGGATCAGATTTCAGGCAGGACGAAACTCTGCGCCTGACCTGCGGCTGTGGGATACGGATCAATCTCTGCTGCGCCAGCAGAAAAACCAAGTTGCCGCGGTTGGCAGCCGTTCCGCGCAAGCAGCGTGGCTGCATATTTATATGCACATCGCGCAAATTGTATTTATATAAAGTTACACATTTGTATACTCATACACAGCGCATCAAGTTCTATAGCCGAAATGCGCGGCTCAGCCGCGCAGTAACACGAACCAATTACAACCCAACAAGACTCAGAACAGCCAAAGTAAACACGTATACAAACATCACCGCTCACGCGTGAAAAAATTTAATTTTTCGGACAACTAAAACAATCAAAATACTAAAGTAACAAAAAACTAGAGTAGGTAAAATGGTAAGTCACAGTTCTGCTGGGCCCAAAATGTTTTGGGGCCATACGTCCTTAACAGTTTTGTTTAGTCTACTATATCACTTAGCAGCAGCTTAGCCTGTTCCACCCTCAACATCGCCCCTCAGCTTCACCAGCCCCTGTCAACATTTGCCTCAACACTGAAGGAGCAGTAAAAGCTTGTGAGAGACCTGAGCCTTGTAGTCAGCGTTGTGTTGGCAAATGTGGTGAAAACCTTGTAGCGATGTGTTTCCTATGTAGTGATATGTTTTTCATAAGAGTGCGAACTCAGAAAAATAGATCCTTAACAGCAGGCCAGAAGACACACGCGCATCAGGTCCAAGTTGTTGTCGCACGCCAAGATTGCGGAATCATTCACTTGCAGGGCCCAAATCGAGGCCCAACTGAGAGCCAACTCATTGGCGGCCATGCCGAATCTAAGCAGCTACCCTGGAGCTGCCAAAGTGCAGTTGGTATACTACATTTGTACTGGCAAGCTGCGGCTTCCGAATGAGCTGCCGCAACGTATTTTGTATAGTCGTACACCACGCACTGAAAAGCTGTGACTTCGAGCTAGAGCTGTCAAAACCACAGTGGAAAAACCGATGCTAACGATTCCAGGGTCTAATCTTTACTAGGGTTGGATCCAGTATGCCATCAGCGCAAATGGCGCAGCGCAGGGTCTGGCTGTGGTGCTGAACCTGGAACCAAAAAGCACCCACGCCAACACCGCGCCTTGGAAGCAGGGTCCGGGGGCAACATGTGCTTTTCACGCTGTGACAGAGACCGACTCCCTTGTGCGACCATGACAGGTCAGACTGAGGCCGTTGTAGGTCGGAGAGTCCGTCCCAAACCACTTGGTGCTGAGCAAATTCAGCCTTCAGGCCGGCAACCAGTGCAATTGAACGCATACCAGTGAACGCGCGCACGTGCGCGCCAAATTTGTCTATGTGCATCGCTGTGGCATTTTGACATTGACTGGCGCACAAGCATTCAGGTTTGTAAGAGGCATTGGTTCCCCCATGCAAACGAGCATGCCCCTATGCTGAGTAGGAAATTAGTTGCCAGAGGTTCAGTTGGTCTAGTAAAGGGTTCACGCCTTCCTAAACCTAGAAGATACGGAGCATGTCTCACGCGCGGACTCCTCCAAAAGCGCCGCAAACGGTGCGCAAACTCACTCAGTGATCTTTCTGGGCAATCTGTGTGGGCAATCCTTCAGCAGTGTCTCTGAGCAGTTCATTCTCTCAATGTATCCAAGGAAGCGTGCGTGCCAGGAGGGTGCAGGCCTTTCGCTTCCGCAACCCACGAAACTTCCGGGCCCGTGTCCTTGATAGCAGCGTTCGACCACGCGTTCATGCGTCGGACCACGCAGATCATGCGCGCTGCGACGCAACGCACACGGCCACGCGTTCACATGGTCGCCCGCGGGGAACAAAACTTAGCATTTCCATCAGATTATTGCACATCCGCGCTGGCGCTATGTCCAGGCGAGGCAGCGCAGCGCGCGCCTTTCGCGTTGCTGCGCAAAAAGCATAGCCTGCTTGCCGGCGTTTGACAAGTCGTACTGCGCGAAATTGTGCTGTACTGTGTGGGCAGGAGAATGGGGCGCCTGAGGTGAGTTTGTTCCGCGATGGCCAGCGGATTTGCAAACCGCAGAAGCTGCCAGAAACCTTGGCAGCACACAGTTGTTTTACACTTGGTGCAATTGCTGCAGTCTTGAGTCTTGAGAGGGTGTTGCAGTTTTGAAACAGAATGGAGTTGCCGTCTGACATGCACGGTTGAGCGTTTAAGCATACGCCACATTTCGGCCCGGATGACTAAGGGCCCCTGAGTCTGTAGAAAAGGCGATTCGACGCATGTTCGCTTGTCAGTGGTAGCGGAGCCCTGGTGGCGGCTGGGTAGTACGCTTGTCGGGTTCATTTTGAACTCGGGGGACGCCCCACGAAGGTGAACCTGGGAAGCCTGGAGAAGTTTGAGTACGCCGTGAACAACCTCGGCGGCAAGCGCGTCTTGGACGCATCCTCATCATAGCCTTGGTGCTGTTCCTCTTCGGTGGCCTCCTCAAGTACCACGTCAGTGGGAGTGAGCTTGCGGTCAAACAGGCGGTGGTGATGCCCGCAGCCGCCCAGGGGTTTCTCTGGAGAGGGGCTGGAATGACTGCTGGATGGGTTGCCGGAGGAGGACGAACAAGTTTTCTTCCAGCATTTGCTGAGTTGCGAAAACAAGGTCTTGATCTTCTCGAAGGAGATGCAGGCCGGCGCCTGTTAGGACATTTGATCCACTGGGAAACTGGAGAAGAGGTAGACTACAACCAGGAGTGTGACATCGGTGAGGACGACTTGTTCTCTGATCTGCTTGGGCGAGGAGTCGGAGGAACCACAGATGATCTTCCCGGAGGAGATCCCGACCGTCATGGAAGAGTCTGAGGCGCTCGAGAAGTTCGGGAACTATTTGGAAGAGGTCTTCTACGAGGCCAACGAGCGCATCAAAGGCAAAGGCAAGGGCAAGAAAGGCAAAGGCGGCAGGTACGGTTCGAAGAGCTACAATTTCGACGTGGGGGTTCCTTGCTCGTCGGAAACTGCTGCAAGATTCAATTAATGTGCAAGGAGGCTTTGATCGGCCTTGGGGAGGACGGCGGTGGCTAGAAGGTGAGCGTCAGTGAGCTGAAGGGTCGGACACGATGCTACCAGTGCGAAAAGATCGGGCGCGTCGCGAATGCCCAAAGCGAGGCAGAACGTCATGGGCGAGTCGTACCTGAGTTATGTGTTCTGAAGCCCTCTGAAGGTATGGCACTTTTGCACACACACACGCTCAACATGGTTTGGTTGGATCCCGAACACTTCATGGGCTACGAGTTGAGTATTCTTCGGAAGATGGTGGATCAGAAAGGTGAGTTTGTGGTGCTGACAAGAAAACCAGCGTTGCGCATGTACCCGTTGGTCTTTCCGGCAATTGTGGAGTTTTGCGGGTGCAGAGTGTTCAGGTCCTGATCCCGGCATGTTTTCTCACAGAAATCGGTGCCGTCATTGATATGGTGCACTTAAAGATCATGTACATGAACCTTGGAGTGAAGCAAAGCATGGTCAGACTGACTTTGGGGCATGTGGGTGTCTCAGTTGTGGAATTTGGACGCGGGTGTCATGTGCGAGCTTTGCACGCACTCGCAGCCAAACCTGGTCAGCCGGAACCCTCGGAGTGGCACGGAATTTCACGCCGGCCCTCATTCAGCGATGGCTCCGCTAACTGGAACGGCTTCGCGCTTTGTGGCGCGAGGTGATGGACTGCAAGTCGTGCGTCTTAGATGGCGCGCGGTATGGTGACGGAGGGCCATTTTGGCCGTCAGGGTTCGCCGGACAGTGCATTCTCACGGATCTGGCTTATAAAACATCGCAGGGGCGAGCTCAGATAGAAGTGAGCGTGATTTGCGCTTCTGCCATGGCATCGCGAGTGACCACGCGGCTAATCCGCTCACCAAAAAGTGCGGAAACAGCACGCTCATGAGGAGAATCCTCAGAGGCGGCCAATACGCTTTGACGCGTGGCGGCTTTGACATTGCACACGCTACATTTCGGCCCAGACCACTAAGAGCCCTTGAGTAGGCCATTCGACGCATGCTCGCTTGTCAGCAGTGCGGCGCTTGAGCGTGATATGAGGCAGTGCTCAATTGAGCGGAGCCTGCGCAGGTTTTGGCTTGCGTGGGCTGAGCTTCCGCCAAAATGATTTTGTTTTAAGTTCAAACGCGGTGGTGTCGGAAGCTGGACATGGCTTGGGCAACTTGATGGAAACCCCTGCTTGGTCCTGGAGTAGTTTGAAAAGGGCGGCCCCAGCATTGATTTTGCAGCGCGTGGCAGGCAGGCATTTGCGCTGAATTGGCAAGTGTGGCCCAACGCAACATTAGCAAGTGCACCCCCAAGCCCGTCACATCAGGTTTTGTCGTTGGACATTGCAACTTTACCCAAAATAGCCGAGAGCTGTCTTTCTTTCGCCCCAGCCGTGCCAGCCTTCCAAAAATGTGTTTCTTTCTCTGTCATTTTCTGCTGTCATGCAACGCATCTTTGGCTCACTTATCAGAGCTTCTCGTGCAAGAGAAGCCTTCACATTTTGCATGTTGGGCTGTCGCCCTTCCAGATTCGGAAAACGCAGAATCTAGGTCCAGAAGGACATGACTTAGACGTGCTCTTGTACGTGGAGCAAGCCTTTCGTTATATGACCAGTACGGGTCCCAAAGATCAACGGACGTTGGTGCAGCGCGCAAGTCTCCAGCCCCACCCCTCGTGATCCCTTTGGGGCGAAGATGCATGGACCAGCGGAAGATTTGCTCGGCGGCTCTCAAAGCTGGCAGCTGGCGCCGATCCCTGCAGCTCTTGCAGGAGGCCCAGATCTCAATGGCCGCCCGCAATTGTAGGAGTTGTTTTGCCGTTTGCAGCTCGCCATTTTTCATTTGGCTAGTTTGGACAACAACTATAGCATCTATAGGTCAAACAGTTCTGGTAGCATGGCGTCTATGAGGAAGTTCGCTGCCCCAGACTCTGCGCTTCACTTGCTGAGAGGCAGTCAAATCAGCTTGGCAACTGCAACGACGCGCAGGGCTACGCGTGTTGCAGCCCTTTAGTGTCGCCCTTTTGCCTTTGTTTCTTCCAGTTTCCCCACATAGCGGCCACGCAACCGGGTTCTGAACAGGTACGGGGCTGGATTTCTCGGGCCAACTTTACAACGTTTATTCTTGGCAAGTCCCTGGGGAGATCTTGTAGGCTTGAGCGTTGGACTGCTGTTGCAGCCCACACATGGGCCGCATGTGGTTTAGGTTCGCACAAGCTTTCTTATTGAAGCTGTGAACAGTTGGATTTGAGAGCGACGCGTGTAATTAGAAACACGATCCATCAGACAAAAGGGCCAAGCCCAGACTTTACGGAGTAGTGTAGAATAGCTGACACTAGCATGAAAAAATGCGGGCTGGGATGCTAGCATGTGTTTCGCGTTGCGCGATGGTCTGCTTGTGCTAGACCGTGCGTTTGTGGCTTTGCGTGGTTGCGTCATGGGGCTCAAAATATGCCTGGGTTTGCCATGATCTGGATTATTGACTGAGGGTCCCAACGAATGTCCCGTCTATCACACTCCAACATCATTTCTGCACGGCCCATGAAACTCCGTTTCCCAGGCCTGAAGCATTTCAGACCCTTGAAACGCTGTGTCTCGAGAGCTACCAGAAAGTTGCTTAGGAAAATGACCGTCGACAAAGCCCGATGAATAGTGTTGACGTGGGCCAGTAACCCCCCATAGCGTGAACCCCACTTTTGTTCGATCGGAGGTGGCCTTGAGACGAACCCTGACTGACTCAGTGTCCACCGCAGAGTTTAGCCACACGGAGAATTGCCACAGGGAGATGCCCGCCCCTTTGCAAAAACCAAAGAACAGGTGGGCTCAGCGACCGAGTCTCGTCAGGCAGAGGCTGCCCAAGTGCCTCTGAACCTTCGAGTGTACACCGCTCTCATCGGCGCATGCCGCTTGGAATCGGACACCGCGACAAGTCGGATGTAACCAATGGCTGGCCTGAGACTTTTTCAACGCTCATGACAGACACCGTCGACTTTGCAACCTTTTTTCAGGGGGACAAAGCACATTGTTCGATCGATGTCTGCTGGACATGTTCCGCAAATGTGTCGGCTGAGAATTGCTAAATCCTGCTCTTGAAAACATGGTCCAATCTATGGACAAATTGAGCGCGCCCCATCCGAAAGACAACTGCCGCAACTCGGCCGATGTGCGGCTTTCCTGTTTTTTACGGTTGCTTGGGGTCTGAATTCGGGGCTGCTCACTATGACGTAACAAGGGTGTCTATTGCCCAAGCGCTTTTTTGTTGAAAACATGGCTATGTCCGGGAGCGGTAGCGCCTTTGCAAATGAAATGACAGTCTGGTTTGGGGGGGGGGGAAGCAAACTGGCCAAGCTGAGGCCGGTCTCGATGGCAAGCAGCCATACATCTTTTGCGACGCCTGCAGGGAGAGCAGCAGGAAGGCGACGCCGTTCTTTACAGCCGCTGCATCAGTGCAGGCTTGAAAGGCCGGGGTAGGGGGTTGTACATAGGGGGCCCAAGGGGCCCCGGAATATACACCTCGTACGTTCTTGAGTGGACGCAGAATGAATGTGTAATTGGAAGAGGTTGAAGGCCAAGCGTGTAAGCAGTGTTTGGTTTCCTGATGGAAACAATTGTGCAACGTACCACAATGTTTCCTACCTGAGATAGCTACAGGTAGTGCACAGGCCTTGAGCCAAAGATGGCAGGCGGATTGCTTCATGAGTGGAAGGCCGTGAATCGAGCGCAGAACAAAAGAGAAGCAAAACAGACACAACTTTCTTTCCACTCATGGCACGGCTAAATCCTAAGGGAACACTGCCCTAGAGCGATCGCATCACTTGGCTTAGAAGCCTTGGTTATTTGAATAGCGCATCGGAAAATTTTGCCGTAACCATCTGAGAAAGTTAGTTCTTCCGACAAATTGCTTTTTTTGCATGAGCACACCTGGAGTCGGTGCCGGCACGTGCCAGAAACCAGATTTTTGAATATGTGCACGGTTGAAACACGATAGACAGTAGCTACTCCTAGAACCAGGGTGAGAAATTCCGGAATGCCCGGAGCCAACAGAAATGGAAATGCCAATGAAATGGTTGTCTTGGTCCTGTTGCCACACAGATGGCAGCGCGTTCCACTTGAACCGTTGGATACGCTTCAGTTCAGCTGGAGCATCCCCGTTCCTGTTCCTGTTGTCTCTTGCGTTTCAGCTTTTCCTCGGACATGTTTGGAATCCCCTTCACGGAGTCGATGCTCATCAACAGAGGATGGTGCCACTCGCATCCCCGCTTCCTAGCATGAGCTGCTTATTGTTGAGGAGCTTGTCGTTTTCCTGCATTAATTGACCACATAGTTGGGAAATATGTTTCTTAGAGGGCTGGGTGCCGCGCATTCTGAAGAGATACGAATATGGTTCAATGAAGTCTTGCGGGCACTCTACGATTCCGTCCATCACCATGTTGCCGGCGGATATCTGCTGATATCTGTATGGTAGGACCTTATAGCATTGCACTCAGAGCGATAAACGCCAACCGTTAAGACCGGTAGTCCGGCTCGATGAACATGGGTTCTGTTGCACCCGCCCTTGATCTCAATGTTGAGCTTCCTGCGTGTACCCTCCGTTTCTGGTCTACCATTGGAAAACTTGGACGGATTGAAAATTCTTGATCTTCTGAGGTAACTCCCAGCCAGGATCATTTCCACTGGTACTGATGATGACACCCCTGCCCGAAGGAAGTAAAACCATCAGGACCAGCATCACCATCAAATGGATGAAGGGTCCTCTGAGGAACTCGTAGAAAACCAGGAAGGACTGGAGGGCTCTGATTGTCAAAGAACTTGTCAACACACAGACGTGGTGCTAGATGAAGATCTTTGGACACAGTTCACACATGACAGGAATGCGTAGCAACAAGGCTCACTCACTGTTAGAGACATTGAAGACCACTTCTTAGTCTTTATGCAGTCCTAGCCATCAAGCGTGA